CATGGGTGAGGTGTCATAGTTCAGGTCAGAAGCCAATAGGACCAGGGCCAGGATACACTATCTCCTTGTTAAGATCCCAATGGAAATAGACGAGAAGTGCATAGCACATAACATAAGATATGGGCCACAAGCCGGGCATTGGTGGTACATGCCTTTACTCCCAGCACTCGGGAGGCAGAGGCAGGTGGATCTCTGTGAGCTTGAGGCCAGCCTGGTCTACAGAGCGAGTTCCAGGATAGCTTCCAAAACAATACAGAGAAACCCTGTCTCAAAATAAATAAATAAATATATTAATAATATGGGCCACAAAAGGTGTGGTTGTTATAATTAAAATCTGATGAAAAAGGTGTGTGTAGAACAAAGCTGGTGGCAAGAATTACTCACAAAGTTGAGTGACCAGCTCTAAGATGGCTTCTTTTGTGTTGGCTCTGTCTCTTATGACGTAAAAAATATGATGTTATTTTGTGAATTTAGAATATGTATGGTATAAATGCACAGATGAAAAGCAGCTCTTTAGAATGGAACCTGAGTGGGAAAGATCCTGAAATTGGAAATTTCCTGGTGATGGGTGGGACGCTGGGGAGCTAGCCTGGTCAGATGGCTGCGCATGACCTTTGTGGGCTCCTATACTCTTAGGTAGGTGATTCATCCCCTTCCTCACATCTGTGTGACTTTGGGAAGGCCACACCACCTCTCTGCAGATGGAGTTTCTTTCCCGCCTGGTCCTACAGCTGTTTAGGCCTAAATAAACACACAGGGGCTTATATTAATTATAAACTGTTTGGCCAATGGCTCAGGCTTCTTATTGGTTAGCTCCCTCTCTCTTAATCATTAACCCATTTCTATTAATCTATGTATTTCTATGTGGTCTTGGCTTTTTGGAGAATGTCCTGGTGCCATATCTTCCCAATAGCTACATGGAGACTCCTCTGGTGACTTCCCTACCTCTCTTCTTTCCAGCATTCTCCTAGTCTGGTAGCCCCACCTATACTTCCTGCCTGGCTACTGGTCAATCAGTGTTTATTTACCAACCAGTACAGAAGGACATCCCCTATTCTTTATTTCCTCTCTCTGTAAGACAAGAACATTATAGTCCTCATTGCATAAAGTTACTTATAAAATATTTAAAGATTTGTTTTTTTAATTGCATGAGTGTATTGTGTTTGTATGCATGTGTGTACATGCACATGCATATCTGTGTGTAGGTGCCCTCAGAGGTCAGAGCTATCAGATCCCACTGGAGCTGGAGGCTTAAGCCCCATGTGAGAACAAAACTCCAGACCTCTGCAAGAACAATGCATGCTTTTATCTGCTGAGTCATCTCTCCACTCCTTTATAAAATGTTTAGAACAGTGTTAGGCACATGTTAAATAATATAGATGCTTAAGAAATAAAATATATTTAAAAATTTAAAATAAAACAAAAACCAACAAAAAAAGAAATACAATATATTACTATGTGCCTGAATGAGAGTCCTTTTGCTATGTTCTTCCATATTGCAAAGAACTTTTTAAACATTTAATTTAGCAAATGTTTACTAAGCACTTGTCTGAACTGGGCACATACCAGGTTCTGGCTAAGAATGAATTGCCATATCCTTTGCTCATTCCGGTGCTCATGAGTTTATAGTCTGTTTTTTACATTGTTGTTATTTAAAAATTGAAAATAATCTAGCCAGATGTCAGTGGTGTACACTCTTAATCCTAGAACTCAGGAGGCAGAAGCAGCTGAATCTCTTGGTTTGAGACCAACCTGGTCTACAGAGCGAGTTCTAGGACAGCCAGGGCTACACAGAAAATCCAGTCTCAAAAAACCAAAATAAAAAATAAATACATTTGAAGCAATAGTAAACTTACAAGGCTGAAGTACAACATAAATGATTTTCTCTCGTTCTTTTTCATAAGATATATTTTTTATTACTTATGTGTAGGGAGGAGTGGGGGGCGGTGTGTCTCTGTATGCAGATGCCCTTTGAGGCCAAAACGGGACAGGATTCCTTGTGTGGCAGGGCAAGAGAGCACACAGGTTCCTCTGACTTGTGTTCTTGCTGGGGACATTTCAGGTTTAATTAGAATTTGACTTCCTTGATGGAGAATCCTATGGAAAATTATCAAGCTCTAATCTAGAAGCCCAAGGTCAAGATGCCCCCGCTAACTTAGCTTCTGTTAAACTACCTGCTTGTGCAAACCTCTCCCTGAAGTTGTCAAAGAGTTTTGCCTTTGATCTAAATGGTCAGGGCTACATTTAATTCCAGAATACCTGAGTGTAGTCCCAGCCGGCTGAAATAAAGACATTTAATTGGCTATAAATTGTGTCTGAGGGGTCATCTCTGGTGGGCTCGGCATAATACTTGGAGTTGGTGTTCCAGGTGGCTGTGAGCCTTCCAGCATGTCAACTGGGGACCTCTGGAAATGCAGAAAGCACTCTGAAGCGTCTCTTTAGCTACTCCCCTCATTTTGTGAGAGTCAGTTTCTCACCATCCACCTGCGCCTAATACAAATAGGAGATTCTCCATAACCTAACTACTGAGAGGGTCGTTACCATTAGTCTCCAGACCTAATTCAAGTTTTGCCTCTTGACATGGTGATGTTTCTATTAACAAAAGGACCCGTGTTGACATTTCCTTGGCGCATCTCTTTCACAATTGGTGTGGAATGCACCCCTTGAACTCCTTTTGATTTGTGTGACATTGGCACTTTTGAAAATGGCTGTTGGGTTCTTGTGTTATGTATTTGTGATTGGATCTGGGCTGAGCCTTCTTGAGAGAAACCATCTACAAGTGATTTGCATTCTTTTCAGTGTCTTAACCAGGCATTCCTTCTGACTACTCTGTTAGCCTCCTGTCGGCCAACCTTCCCCACAGGAAAGTTCTCTCCTGAATCTGTAGGCATTTGGCATGGAGGTTCTTTGCAATTACTATCCTGACCCCTTCAAGCTTCCAATTGGTTTCTGGTTTCAGAATGAACTCACAGTTGCCCATTGCAGACAATGGATGGTAATCGGTTCATAATATGATTTTTGATTTGACCAGTGGGAATCCAATCAAGCAGATATTTGCTCCTTTTAACATGTCTATCTTCCTTTTTGACTTGTCCTTTTTGGCATGGCAAGATATTATCTTCATCTGGTATTTTCTAAATTTCAGTTATAAATTCAGTTGTCTATCCAGGAGTTGCTGATGTCCTGGAATAGAAGCTTATTGTGGGATATTTGTACACTACATGCAGATGTATTGCTGTGACTGGTGTAAGAAAAAGCTGAATGGTCAATAGCTAGGCAGGAGGCATAGGTAGGACTTCCATGCAGAGAGAGAGAGAGAGAGAGAGAGAGAGAGAGAGAGAGAGAGAGAGAGAGAGAGAGAGAGAGAGAGAGAGAGAGAGAGAGAGAAACTGGGAGGAAGAATCTTGGTGAGCCAGCCGTTTTGCCAGTGAACTTGGAGCAGGTTGGGTATGCTGCATTAAGAAGTGGTAACTGAACTATGTGGCAGAACTAGTTGGGGAAAGGCCTAGGCTAAGGCCAAGTTTTCATAATTAATAATAAGTCTATTTGGGGGTTAGCGAGCCAAAGATAGTTCAACAAGAAAGCCTGCTACAGAGGCTGGTATTTAGAAGTATTGTTGTGCTCAAATTCTGAACCCCCAAATCACCAAGAGGCCCATTTCAATGCAAAAGCAGAGTTTTATTGTAGATGTTTAACGAGCTAACCCCATTAGCTTGAGCCCTTCACCCCACCACCATGGAGGATGGCTAGAGAAAGACCCTGAGCAACCTTGAGGCAGGGATCTTAAAGGGCAGCGTAAGGGGAGTATGAAACAGTCTCAGGATTGGTGAGCTTCCAGGTTTGGACGACCCGCCCTGTGTTGATTGGCCAACTGGTTGTTATGGCCCATAGGCCCTCCAAGGGCAGTTGCTATGCTCTGCATGTCACTGTTGTGCACTGTCAGTAAAGCACACCCAGAGCCGTAAAGCACAGCCCCTCCAGCTAACTTCTGATTGGTTCCTTGCTTCACGGAGGGCATCTGACCTTAGTGACCAGGACAGGAGCATATGGTAGCCTGTCATGGCTGCTAAAACGGGGAGGCTGGTCACTAGAGTATCTGGCGGGCTAGGGTTGCAACTCCATTGGTAGAATGCTTGGCTAGCATAGATGAAGACCACAGTTGGGTCTGTATATGGTAGTACATGCCTGCAATCCCAACACTCAGGAAGCAGAAGCAATAGGGTCAGAAGTTAAAAGATGCCCTTAGAACCAACCTGGTGAGTTTGAGGTCAGTCTGGGGTAATGATCACTAGATGTGCTCATTGACACTGTAGCATCATGTCTCCCAAATATGTCATTACTTCCAATATTACAGAGTAATGTTTACTTTTGTATTCATCTGTGTACATTTCACAAACGATTCATATCAACATCCATTTCCAATCCAGGGATACCTAACCTTCCTGCTATCTTTAAAATATTCCCTACCTGCCTCCTCTCTGGGTGGGACTCACTACCCACCTGCCATCTCTGGCAATGCGGCTGCTGGTTCCTTCCTGGGGGCTCTCTCCTCGAGCTGCTGGGACGTTGACTTCCCATTCTGAGCCCCACCTCTAGGAAGCTGTAGGACACCTTCCCTTGGTCTGAATGAACTCTGGCATTCCGTCTTCCCGACTTGTTTGTTTTATTTTGGCTCTAAGGGACACTTGTCTGTCCCTCATGCCGCAGTGGATCCTCTCCTCAGCTATCTCGTGCTCTCCCTCATGGCAGGCTACAGTCTGCATAGAGAGATGCCTTTTCCACCCAGCCCAGGCTACCTTCATTTTCAGCAAATTTTATAACAGTGTCTTCCTGGGTCTATAGAAAAACTGAGGTGCAGCGGTGCGGGGCGTGGGGGGAGCTAAACTCTGAATAAGATAATGAATAATAACTAAATCCGGAAAACAAGATAGGCAGACAGTTTTCATTTTTGAGTGTGTTAAGAATGCCAAGATGAAATTCGTCGCTCTTCCTTTCCACGTTTGCACGGGTATACTACATGATGTGTGTGGGTGATGTGGCTGGTAACTGATGGAGAAATCTGGGGCATCACCCCCAAAGCTCACACACCCGTGGTGGTCCCTCAGGGCTGAGGAGGAAGGGAGCAGTGCAGGCAGGAAGAGGGGTGGTCTTCTGCACTGCCTTCGTGTGATCCCTCATCTTCACTCTAGAGCTAGATATCTCGATTGAGGAATGAATGGAGAAATGGGGACCCGGCCAAGGAGTCCCCGGCCAAGGAGGAAACTGGCGAGAGATGCTTCTGGCAGACCAGGTGACTTAGGGGGGAAATTTTTTAAAAAAGTAATCCAATTTCATGTACGTGCATTTCCTCTGGAATTGCAATCTCTCTGAAAGGACAGAGGAGATTTCATTTTCCAGTTATCACTTTTCCTACGCTATTGAGACAGCATTACTTCAAAGGATTGGACTGGTGAGTGTTTCCTGTAAGGGATGAGCCGATCTCCCTGGCAGGTGGGCTGGGCCTGCTTCAAGAGCGCCCACCCCATGGGGTAGCCAATCTGGGGAATTACTGCTTTCCCGGACTCTGCCTGCTGGGCTGGGGGCCTGGTGAGGTGGTTGGGGGTGGGGTGGGGTATTTCACAGTTTCCTAGTCAATTAGAAGACAAAGCGGGATTGTTTCTAGCTTTGTTCCATGGAATTTCAATGGGGGTAAATGAAGATTCCTGGAGGACAGACGCAAAACCCCAAATTGTTCTTGCTTTATCGTCCTTTTAGAATGTGTTGTGTGCATTCCTGGGCTGGAAGGCAAAGGAAATAAGCCCTCTTCTCTCCCACACACACCCTTCCCCTGACCTACCGTGTCAGGTCCCAAGTATTTGCAGGAGCTCTAATTACAGAGGAAACAGATTTCCTATCTGGTCCCGGCTCTTGTCAGTATAGTGTGCTCTTAAATGTTCCACATGGAATCAGGGAAATAATGATTTGGACAAGTGCTGATTTTTATTGGGCGTGACTTAACTCAAGCTGCATCTTTGTATTTTTTCCTTGTCCCCCCCTTAAGAATAATCATTTCAAAATGATTAATGATGCCTGAAGCCACCGTCTTCACTTCCTGTGGTGAAATGCAGAACCTTTGTGCATGTCTGGGTTTGTAGGAGGGTGGGTTCCAAACTCCTGAGACAGTTTCCCATCCTGTCCAGACAGTTGGGTTATTGTTCAGGGGAGCTGACTCTGTGTGTGGGGGGTGGGGGTCCTGCAGAGTGTGGACCCTGTGCCCCCTCAGGGAGGGACAGCTTCTCTCTAGCTACAGAAGGAGAAATTGGTTACCTGTCAAGGGATCTCAAGGGATCTTAATATTTATTTATCCCAGCCTCGGGCCCCCCCCGTGTGTGTGTGTGTGTGTGTGTGTGTGTGTGTGTGTGTGTGTGTGTGTGTGTGTGAATTAAGAGCAATGCCATGGTCTTTGAAAACCGGTGGGATTATAGAAAGATCATGAGGGTAGGTGGGGACATGCGAAACAAAAGGTCACCACCCTGCTGGGATTCGGCCACCTCTGGCTGTCCAGGCAAAGCTTTCCCTGAGGAACTCCACGGGGGAGCATCCTGCCTTCTTCCTAGGAACCTCCTGGGAAAGCTGCTGCCCCACATAGCCCAGCAATGGTTCAAGCTGGCTCCACCCCCCCCCCCATCGACCCTGGAGATATCGGCAGCAGCTGCAGGGGCCATTTTTATAAATCTTATTTAGTAAAGACTCTGAGTGATTCTTGTAGATGACAAGCAAGTACTGAATACTGAAGCCTGGTTCTACTTCCGTATTCTGAGAGTCTAGCGTTTGTCATGTAAATGCTCCCCAGTCTTCTTCCCCACCCCTCCATTCTGTCTTGGCATTCCAGCTCTGAGGAAAGCCTTTTGGTGGAATACCTACTACAAATTTGCCTTTTGTGGTGCTCAGCTCAGAGCAAACAATAACAATCCCTTCTGCCTACAAGGTACTGTGTGGAGGAGCTGAGCTTTGTTCAGATGGGCTGGCCACGTGGAACTTAAGGGAGACAAGAAGGCTAACCGAATTCTCTCCACTCAAGGGGCATGCCAGGCAGTGAGTGTGCCAGGCAGTGAGTGTGCCAGGCAGTGAGTGTGCACGCGTGGCATGCACACTTGGCTGTGCGAGCTTCTCTCCTAGACAGATTCATCACAGTAGGTGCCAGCATCCTTGGGACTCATGACATTAGATGCTTGTGAGCCTCCATCGGGGATAACATCTGCAAAGAAATAGGAAAAGCATGAAGTATTCCTTCATGGTTGCCTTCTGTTGAAAAGTCAGAGTGCACACACCTACAACCTCCAGACTTGGGAGGTGGAGGCAGGAGGAGGATGACCTCCAGTTAAGGCCATTCTAAGACAGTAGGTGAGTCATGTGTCCGTGTCTCCCCCGACCCCCATTCAAAACCTATGCTGGCTCCTTCTGAGCAGAATTGTTCTTAGGCTGTGCTGTATAAATCAGACTCTCAGTTTGCCTAACTATCCCAGTATCAACTGTATTAGAAATGGTAAGGGATTCGGGCCGGGTTCCCAGGGGGTTAGAGCTGGGAGCGCTGATCTTTATGTTAATATGGAGAGCACCGGCTTGAGCAGTCTGGGAACACAGGTTTTCTTCCCACGGTGCCTTTTCCATGTGAATTAATCTGTTAGCTGGTATGTGTGTCAGTTTATTTGAGAACATGTGTGCTGACAATTGGCCCCTGACTATAAAATATGGTCTTGGGGGAGATCATGATTAATTGTCTGCCTTACAGTGTGTATATGTATATGTGTTTGATGACAAGCATTATCAGTATGCATGTGCCTATAAAACTAAAGACAGACTAAAGGCAAGCGATCATTAAGACTTTGGAAGTGTGAATACACAGAAATGCTCTTGGAGTTATCTGGACTTATGTTCTCCTCATGGACGTGGAGCCAAGGAGATCTTATTTCTCCTTGAAAGCATCATTTTCAGATCTAAAGCAGGAGACATTTCATGTCCTAGAGCGCTCAGTAAGTACTATTGTGACACACGCCTTACTTAAAATAAACAGGGAGGCTGAGTATGGTGGCAATTGCTAGTCGCCTTAGCCTTCTGGATACTAAGACAAGTTTGAGGCTAACTTGAGTGGCATAGGGAGAGTCTAGCTCAAGACAACAAACAAACACACAAAAACCCACAACAAAGCAAAACAATAAAAGTAATCAAAAAGAAAGAAGATCTTTACAGTAACAATTTGTTTGTTTGTTGCTCTTTGTGTCTATTTTTTAAAGATGTGAGTTGGATTCAATGTCATAAAGAAGGTAGAGTTCTGTCTGTCTCTTGCCAGAAACCCAAATATCACACTACTGGATAATATGGTTCCCCCAAAAAACAAAATGTAGGCAATTTACAAGCATGATTTCTGAATGAGATATGGAAACAAACAGCACAAAATGTAGCGTTGCTTCCTTATAAAACTGACACTGTATTGTGAAAACCAAAACATTATCAAAGAAAGTAAAATGTTAAGCTGAAGCACTGGATATGATAAAAGTCTACAGCATTGATGGACAGCTGGGAACCTCTGCGTCATAACCTTGATTGGGGGTGGTCTCCTGAAGACTTCTAATCTTGGCTTCAGCATTCTTCATTGGGACATTACTGCAGTGTCAGAACCCAGAGTACATTTAAGGGGAGGAAAATGGGAGAGCACAGAGGTGGCCAGCTGAGAGGCTGGTCTCCCAGGAGATGTGCATGGCAACCCTGTCTGGAGACTGAGTGCCTGGTGAGAAGTTTCTACACCCGGATAAGCCTCTCCGCCGATGCAATAATCCAAATCAGACCAAATCAAACTGAATTAGAAAAAGTCCCCATTTAATGGATACAACACTCCCAGATGGCCTTCCAGCTCCCCAGAGAGGAGACTGGAAAGGCAGACCAGAAAAACCACAAGTCTGTTCTCTGGGGGACAGTTTAAATATACTGTGGGAGTGGTCTTGAGTATCTCTCTGTTGGAGGGCCCATCATTTGGCTCGATTTCTGAGGTGCAGCAGGGTTCGGAGGGAGACGGGGGAGGGGGCTGGGGTGGAACCTCCACCATAGCATCCCAGACTCTTTGGGTACATGGATGCCAGGGGCTGGGGTGAAGCTTCCACTTAACACCTGGAACACCAGCTCACCTGATCACTGTCTAGTTTTGGAGACTGACCTTGGGACTTTACCTTAATCATTGTGTGGTTCCTGCAGTGAGCTTTCTGGGAGGGGGTGGGTAGGCAGGGCTGGGGTGGGGTCGGGGCTGGAGCTGGTACCTCAGTAAAGCCGACTGCCTGGGACAGGAGAGCAATGCTGAGATGGAAAGGGTGAAGGGAAGTCTGGAAGAGGAGGACGAGTAATCTCAAAGTTCAGTAAAACCAGAAGCACAAAGGGCAGCAATGGAACTGCAGGGGAGGCTGGGCAGGGGGACAGAGAAGAGGGCAGCGGCCGGCAGACTAAGTAGTCAGGAGAATAACCCAGCGTTGCTGTGGCTAGATTAGGGCCAGGGTTAGGTGGGAAGCCAGGCCAGGAGAATGGTGAGCAGTGGGAGCAGGTGGTGACTGCCTGCGCTTCAGAAGGCAGCGGGTGGGCACAGTGAGGGGCTCTTTGTCTTTCTTTCCCGGGAGAAGGGCTTGAAGATTCTTTCACTCAGCAAATGTCTATTGGTGTCCACTAAGAGCTAAGTGCTGAGGAGCTGGAGATGAAAGGAGCGGCCTCTGCTCTGTCTGGGACCTTGCAAAGGGAGAGGAGAGGAGAACAGCCCAGCCTAATATTGTGTGTCAAGAGCCCTGCAGGAAGGAAGGCATAGATAGCTCTTGCCACACAAGGGGGAGAAGTCTTTAGGCTTCCTGGAGAGAGCCAATGGTCAGGACTAATTAGACATTCTCCTGGCAAATCACGGAGGAGCTGCCTTCTAGGCACAGAGAGCAGTGGACTCCGGGACGAAAGAACATCTCCTCCGTGGTCTGGGTGGACCAGGGAGCACAGGGGATGTGGTGTGAGGCAGGAGGCGTGTAGGGGTGGGGTCAGCAGGCCTAGGCGAAGCAGCCAGAATAGTTTCTGAAGCACAAAGGCCATAGCTGAGGGCAGCAAAGAGCAGCTGAGGCTTGAGGAGGACTGGAAAGTGAGGTTTTGAGATGGGGAGGGACGGTGGCCTTGGCTTTCCTGGCAGGGTAGCCGTGGCCATCTGCCACTGCACCGAGCGAGAGCCTGGGAGGAGGGTGCAGGAGGCTCACTGGGAATTCCAGAGAGGAAAGGAAAAGATTGCCATATTGTCATTATTTGAAATTCACAAAGACTTTCGTCTGCCATGGAACTGACTCTCACTGACACCCCAGCCCCACATCTGTTCATCTGCTTTTAAATGTGGTGTGATCTTCCCTCCCAGTATCTGCAGAGATGTCAGTGCCAGGCATGACGGTCCTGGACGGGTGC